ATTTTTAAAAAAAATACAGCCACTTACGAAAATTACCAATTCCTTTATCTTCTGTTCTTAAAGCCTTTCAGGTGTTCAAAAGAGATATAGCCAACTCTGCCATCACTTTCAGGATTCCTGACATTCCCCTAGAAGTAAAGACCGGCGCTTCCATTCACGCCATAGCCACCACGTTAAGGTAAATCCGGGTGCCCTATAGCGTTCTTCTGCTGAACATTGTCAAAATCAAAGCGCGGACATTTAGCTGTCGAAAGGTGGCATATGCCGTAGTCGATGCGCTAAAAATATCGACATTTCTTAATTGATCTCTGCTTTAAATCAATCACTGACCAAAATTCAGTCATTTTATGTTTAATCCCAAGTCGACAAGCAAAATAAAAAAATGAAAAGTTAGCGAGGTGGAGGGTAGAACATTCTTGTTTTTGTTTGACGTTTTCTATCGGTCAGTAAAGGAAAATGCAACGGCTAACGCGCTGTCAAGAGTGTGTGGATCAATAAAGAGCATCAAAGATCTGCAAAAAGTTCATAATGATCTCTGTCATCCAGGCATCAATTCCAGGCGGTTTGTTGAGCGGTAAATCAGTTTAGAACCCTCGAGAATTTTCATCCCCAACCAGATAACTTTGACGCCATATAATTACGAAAGAATGTGATAATATCAAACTAAAAAAATTAAAATTGACCACATGGCCCAGTCGATAATGACGTTGGTTATATCCAGTGACTAGACCTAAAGAGTTGTGAGTTCAACACCACGCCAAAGCAAGGATGAACAAAAAAACTTGGAGAGTTCAGCTAAAGGGAAATAATTGAGACATCGGGAATAGCCATGACACGTTGAACTAGAAAAATCTATCCCGGTGGACGAAATAAAGGGTTCGCTTCGAAATTCCAATCACCTGAAGAAATCCGGAGCGTACAACTGCCGAAACATTGTGAATATAGGAGTGAAGATGAGGATAACATCTGGAAGAGGCATGGCACGTGGAACTAGAATGATCTACCCCGGTGAACGAAATAAAGGGTTCTACTCAAAATTCCAATCACCCGAAGAAACGGCCAAAACCCTAGGAATTTGGCAATGAAGATGAGGGTAACAGTCCGAATAATGTAAATAATGCAAGTAATCGTAATACCTCATCTCAGAGCTATAGACAGATACATAGAGAGACATAGACATAAAGGCCGGAGCGTACAACGGCCGAAACGTTGTGAATATGGCAATGAAGATGAGGATAACAGTTTCGAATAATGGAAATAATGCAAGTAATCATAATACCTCATCTCAGAGATATAGACAGATATTAAAGAAAAAAGAAAGATAAAAGAAGCGTTTCACTCTAAGATGAAAAAATGAACCAAGTGAGAGAAGAAGAAGTAAAACAGAAACTTGAATAACAATAAATAGGAAGAAAAAAAGCATAAAATGCAAAAAATGAAGAAAAAAGAATAAATTTGCTTCGATGTGATTTTTCAACAATGGCAACTGTTCGGGTGCTCTCTTCGCCAGGGTACCTTCACTTTATAAATTTCAGCACAGTACAAAGCTGCTCACCAATATATACTTGAGTTGGCTAGATATACCCTAAGTGCTATGCTAACAGTTTCTTTTCTCACACTTCTCGCTTGTGGAACCATCTCCTGGCTCCATACATTCCAGTCAACTTTTATCTTCAAAAGTTTAAATGCAATGTCAATCGCTATCTACTGTCCTACTGATTTGTCTTTTGTTCTTGCTCCTTAGTAATGTATCTGTTTTCTAATTCTTCCACACCTAGTAACTACTTGTGTCTTAGCGGCTTTATTGCCTTGCTTGGAGTGAACTCGACTGAAAAATAATTGTTCGGCCTATCATAAACTAAATTGAAAACAGAAAGGAAAACTTTTCAAATGTTAAACAACCACGGAAAACTTAGTCATGACACAAAGCAGATGGATAATCTAGTGCTAATATTTAATCCAGTTAAGGCTATTTCCATTAGTCGTTGCTAAACCAGCTGCTAAGAAAATTGGTTCACTGCGTTGTTCTAGACAATTTTCTTCTCCAGAATCTGTCTTACATAGCTTATAGTCTACTATACTTCCATGCATAGAATATTAGTCACATATGGTCTAGTGTTCCTGCTGTATATTTAGAGATCCTTGATAAAATCCAAAGAAGAATCAGCAATATTATTAGTCTTGATCTGTCATCTCAGCTTAAGACACTTTCCTACCGCCGTAAATTTGACTCCCTGTAACTTTTCATGGTAATTGTTCGGGTGGGCTTTTCGCGCTGATACCGAGATTTTATGAATTTAAGCGCAGTACTAGATTGGCAGCAAGGTCTCACCAATTTACAGTTAAGTTGGCACCCTGCTTTCCAGTCAACTTTTATCTTCAAAAATTTAACTGCAATGTCAATTATTATCTACAGTCCTCTTGATTACTCTTATTTTGTTCTTACTGCGAAGTAATGTTTCTATTTTCTAAGTCTTTTGCACCCAGTAATCTCTTTGTGTCCTAGTTCCTTTATTGTCTTGCCTGGGGTTAAATCGATTTTTAAAAAAAAAAGAAAGAAGAAAAAAGATTTATAAAATAGGAACGGATAAGAAGGAAGAGAGTTAATCGTGAAACGAATGAATACGGTATGAAGGAAATACTAGAAAAGAAAAAAAGATAAAAAGAAAGAAGAATGAATGAAAATAGAAAATAGAAGAAAAATAAGAGAAAAAAAATAAATGGCTGAAAGAAAAAAGCATCCTGAATGAAAAAAGGAATTATGTAAATAGTATTATATGTTATTTGAAAGAAAATTATATTTGAAAGCAAAAAATAAAAACAACAGAAAATAATCCAAAGAGCGAATATTTTCTTAAATATCGGAAAAAAAGAAACAGGTTCAAAGACAAAACAAAAAAAAATGTATAAAAAACGTATAACAAAGACACAAATGAACCAATTGAACGAATAACAATAAAAAAAATTCAAATAACACATTTACAAAACAAAAAGAAAGTAAACAAATTGGTGAAAGAAAAAAAAAGTGTTTTCTTTCATCATTTCTTACATGACTACCTTGCAAATTATTGATCAAAAGTTCTTGCCTGTGATGAGAAAATGACAATGAAGTTCTACGTCGATGTATCGCTTAGTAGCAGAAGTCAATCTGCTGTCTTTTCGACTTCCCCATCGCTTGGAATCTGTCAATGAAATTCAAATCAGTCTAGACATCTGGTTAAAGAATCCTGAAAAGCTAAAAGATTTAAAATTAGTTTCACTTTTTTTTAATTATTGCCTTCTAAACCGAGTACTTCTTCCATGTTCATAGAACGGTATAAATGGCCAAAGAATCCGTAGTCACGAACTCCTCTGTTAGCGATCGTTGGCTTATTCAATTTTCTGAAAGATGCGACTAAATATTACACTGGGTCTGTAGGGGAGGAGGGCTCAGAATAGACGTTAAAATCAAGAAAAGTACAGAGATTAAACCATGTAAGATGTATTATAATAGAGAATTATAACATTATATTATACAGAGTATGATAAGAGAAGACAGAATTTGAGATATCGAAATTTAAAAGCACACTGGGAAAGCGAAAGATACCTTAAGTTTTGAGAAAATGTCGTTAGAAACAAAGAGACTGTCTATATCTCTGAAATGAGGTATGATGATTACTTGCATTATTTCCATTATTCGGACTGTTATCCTCATCTTCATTGCCATATTGACAACGTTTCGGCCGTTGTACGCTCCGGCCTTTATGCCTGTGTCTCTCTATATATCTGTCTATATCTCTGAGATGAGGTATTAAGATTACTTGCATTATTTACATTATTCGGACTGTTATCCTCATCTTTATTGCCATATTCACAACGTTTCGGCCGTTGTACGCTCCGGCCTTTATGTCTATGTCTCTCTATATATCTGTCTATATCTCTGAGATGAGGTATTATGATTACTTGCATTATTTACATTATTCGGACTGTTATCCTCATCTTCATTGCCATATTCACAACGTTTCGGCCGTTGTACGCTCCGGCCTTTATATGTATATCTCTCTATATATCTGTCTATATCTCTGATGTTGAGGTATTATGATTACTTGCATTATTTACATTATTCGGACTGTTATCTTCATCATCTCGTTGTACGCTCCGGCCTTCTTCAGGTGACTGGAATTTTTCTTTAAAATCTGTCTATATCTCTGAGATGGTGTATTATTATTACTTGCATTATTTACGTTACTCGGACTGTTATCGTCATCTTCATTTCCATATTCACGTTTCAGCCGTTGTACGCTCCGGCCTTCTTCAAGTGATTGGAATTTTTCTTCTATATCTGTCTATATCTCAGAGATGAGAGATTATGGTTACTTGCATTATTTACATCATTCGAACTGTTATCCTCATCTTCATTGCCATATTCACAATGTTTCGGCCATTATAGTATCCGGCCTTCTTCAGATGATTGCAATGTTTATTCAATATTTGTCTATACCTCTGAGATGAGGTATTGTGATTAAAAGGGTGTATATTGAAGAAAATGTTTGAAAAAAGAGAAAGTACGACAAAATTATTTTGCAAGAACACATTGTCTTTAAAATCATTCATACGATCTTATGGAAGATGGCATGTATTACACAATGCAGTCTCTTTTCCCACAGTCGCCAAATTGTAAATCTGTCACTACTCTATCGCTATTTCCACTGCAAATGTTCACCTGATCGCCATTATTTAGCTCCATCAGTTCAGACCTTTACAACTAGAACACAGAGTGCTACTTTCAAGGAGTCGAATCACCGTAATTTTCCCATATTCTAAATGTAAAATGATGTGCGTCTCAGCCAGCATTTTCCACAAAGGATCTTAAAGTCGAGGGTCAAAAGTTCTCTAATCTCCTTAATGTGTTCACTTCCTACCACATTCTCTTTCATTCATGTCAGACATTCGCCATAACCGTCTGGAGACCTTCTACATTGAGTGACTCTAGAGCCTTGTAGATCTTTGACATAAAATCACTAGAATAATCTGATGTAATAGTTACTGGAAACTAACCTAGCAGGACGCATAAAGAAAGAAAGAAAGAAAGAAAGAAAGAAAGAAAGAAAGAAAGAAGAATGATGCAACATTGAAGGGGATGGAAGCAAAAAATGGGTAAAGAAGAAAAAGAAAGAAAGAAAAATTGAGAAAGCAAGAAAGAAAGAAAGAAAGAAAGAAAGAAAGAAAGAAAGAAAGTAAGAAATGAGCAATACTGAAGGGGATAGAATCAAATAAGTGCTAAAGAAAAGAAAGAAAGAAAGAAAGAAAGAAAGAAAGAAAGAAAGAAAGAAAGAATGGTGCAACATTGAAGGGGATGGAAGCAAAAAATGGGTAAAGAAGAAAAAAGAAAGAAAAAATTGAAAAAGAAAGAAAAAAAAAGAAAGAAAGAAAGAAAGAAAGAAAGAGAGAAAGAAAGTAAGAAATGAGCAATACTGAAGGGGATAGAAAGAAAGAAAGAAAGAAAGAAAGAAAGAAAGAAAAAAGAAAGAAAGAAAAGAAAGAAAGAAAGAAAGAAAAGAAATGAGCAATACTGAAGGGGATAGAATCAAATAAGTGCTAAAAAAAGAAAAAAAAAAAAGAAAGAAAAGAAAGAAAGAAAGAAAGAAAGAAAGAAAGAATGAAAGATGCAATATTGAAGGATATTGAAACTAAAAATGACAAAGAAAAAAAAGAAAGGAAGAAAACTACGGGCATAATTTGAATGGAATAAAAGCCAAGGAAAATGGGTAATAAAGAAACAAAGAAAAAAGATGAAAGAAAATATTGAAGGGAATTGAAAATAAAAAAAATTGGTAAAAAAAATAACGAAGTAAGAAAGACAGAAAAATGAGAAATGCAATACTGATACAAATGGAAACGAAAAATGGACAAAGAAACAAAGAAAGAAAGAAAGAAAGAAAGAAAGAAAGAAAGAAAGACGATTACATAAGTGAAGGAAAGAGTGCAAAATTGAAGATGGAAACAAAAATGGGTAAAGAAGAAAAAGAAAGAAAGAAAAAATGAGAAAGAAAGAAAAATGCAGGCATATTTTGAAGTGAATAAAAGCGAAAGAAAATGGGTAAAGAAAGAAACCAAAAAAAGAAAGATGAAGGAATATATTGAAGGAAATCGAAATGAAAAAAATCGCAAGGAAGAATAACAATACTGATACAAATGGAAACGAAAAATGGGTAAAGAAAGAGAGAGAGAAAGAAAGGTGCAACGTTGAAGAGGATGGAAGCAAAAAAATGAGTAAAGAAGAAAAAGAAAGAAAGAAAAATTGAGAAAGAAAGAAAGAACAATGTAGGTATATACTGAACGTATTTGAATCGAAAAAAAATATGTAAAGAAGAAAAAGAAAGAAGGCTTTTGAAAGAATACATTAGGTTTAAGTCTCAGACATTTTAGTGTAATTGACTGTCGCAGAGAAGACTGACGATATGGATATAAATATTTGTTAAGTGTATCTCGTCAACCGGTGATCGTGTGTTCAGTTTTCGGTTCAGACAGTGAACGTCATAAAATCAAATTTACTGGCAGTAGAAAAATCCAATTATATATGAAGAATTACTTGATATGAGATAGCCTCGGGCATGGAAAATAAGACTTCTCAAAAGATTTACGATGAAGACGGCTAAAATGACGGCCAAACCTGGTGAAAGCAAGCCACTAAAATGACCACGCCCGCCCGAAGAGATCAATATGAGAAAGAAAGTTGCGATTTTTGATTGCCGGGTTTATATGTTAAACCAGCAAAAGTGGCACATCGTTGCATGATTTGTTTTATGGCAATAAGGTTAAAATGCCCTGAACAGTGAAAATAATATAATTTCTATTACTTTCATAATTTAGTAATAATAGTGCCGGCTCTGCGTTCTTGTTCACGCTGATAATAATTATCTGTTTTTTCTTTGTTTTTTTTTTTTTTGTATTTTTTTGTTTTTTTTTGCTATTGTTTTTTTTTGTTTTTGTTTTTTTGGGGGGTAGGGCTGTTGTTTTTTATGTTGTTTTTTTATGTGCTTATGTTTGTTACAAAAGCTGAAAAAAACAAAGAAAAATTCATATTTAAATATGTGCTGGACAACAAGCAAATAATCCGATGTATATAAAAATAAATGAATAAATTAACCCCTTAATAAATTTCGCTGGTGTTTTACTAAAGCTTTTGCACACACACACAAACACACACACACACACACACACACACACACACACACACACACACACATACAGGGTGTCCAAAAAGTTCGTGTGCACTGTATATATTTAAACATATATTGTTAAATATAAGAGATAAACGAACAGCTCATAATCGAACATAATAGACATTCATTGTCTATTATATATATATATATATATATATATATATATATATATATATATATATATATATATATTTTTTATGTTTATACATTCTTTTATAGATACAAATATTTAAGTAAAAACTGTTTTTATAATAAACAGTATTTATATTATTTACCAACCTGAATGTCCGAGAAAATTTTCATAGAAAATATTCCTCCTCCGAACCAGTATCCTATATGGAACCGTCACTTAGCCTGACGTGCTCTTAACTGATATTATAAAACAGAACATTTACTTAAATATTTGTATCTATAAAAGAATGTATAAACATAAAATGTCTTAAAATAATTGTCGGACTTTGTTCATTTCATAATTTATATATATATATATATATATATATATATATACAAAGAATAATCACACATAGAATTAATCAGAAGTATCAATACGATTATTGGCGACATCCATCGCTAGAAAACATAATATATGCATTAAAATCCTGTTCATCCATAGTGCGAGTTTTTGATCCTGAAGAAAAACTTGTTGTCTGTAGTTTTTCAGTTTATTTGATGTTAAAATGCTAGTACTTACGGACATGGATGAACACTATGCCACTATGGATGAACAGGATTTTAATGATATATTATGTTTTCAGGGATTTTAATCGCATTGATACTTGATTAATTCTATGTGTGATTATTCTTTGTATGTAAATCATATGCTGCCTAATGTTTTATATATATATATATATATATATATATATATATATATATATATATATATATATATATATAATGATGATATTTGTGATCAGATATTTCCAAAAGGATATAAATCCAGAGACTGCTCTATGTCTGAAACAGAGAAAAAATTATCATTATTATTATAGCCACAAATAATAACATTTTATGAGGTTATATTTATTTCATTAGAGTTGTAAAACGGCGCCATTTCATCAGATCTTCACATCCAAAAGGAAGCAGAAAATATTTCTTCAGGTTTAAATAGGTAACTCCACGAAACCGCTAAAAAAAAGATAATAGCATGATGAAAAAGACGCCAAACTTGACGAAAACAAAATTTTATCGTCTAAATGTTAATGTTATTATAAAGAGGAAAGTTTTTTTTTTAATTATTTCTTAAAATTTTTCTTTCTTTTTAGAACATTCTAAATTTTGATTAAAAAAAAACTTGTTTCTTTTTGTATCACCAGAACTAGTAAAATAACAGACAATTTTTAACACGTTTTTTTTTTTTTTTTTTTTTTTTTTTGTATGACACATTAATTTGGAAAATCTTGCAAAAATAAAAAATAATTGTCGGATATTAATGAAACTTTCAGAAACTATCCACAAATGGTCGAAATTATTATAAATAAGTTGTTATTTTTTTATTAAAATCATGGCAGAAATATTTCTTTATATTTATTAACCCCCTCCTAATAACTAATTTTATGAAACGCTAGAAATTCGATCGAGTCAAGTTTAATAATTACATTAGTTAAAAGCACAAGACATGCAAATCACATTTTTATTGGACCCCGACCCCACTTGAAAATCAGCTCTGAATTGTAACATACAAAACTCAATAAAACAAAGATATTTAATTTCAAATGCTTTTATTTGCTTTTAGTTGTTTTTATGAATATGGACAATATTTTCTGAAAGCAAAAATTTTTTCGATGAAAAATGAATTTTTAATACAATTATTTGTTATTTCTTTAATTATAATAGATTTTTACATTTAAGTTGTTAAAATATTATAAAATTAGTTAAAAGCCGCGTCGGGTTTCCTTAAGTGTCCTTATGAGATCTTTTTTTAGCGCGTTGTAAATTGTATCGTTTTGACTAATCAGAAGATCCGCAGTAATTAAGAAATATAATTTTGTGTTCATAAAAATCGTTAAAATGGCTGTAATTAAAAAGTACGGAAGGTCACAAGCAATAAAATGTCACGTGGCTTGAGTGTAAGCCTTCTCCGCTGAACGTCGATTACATTATTGCAAATTCTTAGTGCGAAACATGCTGAGCATTTTGAATTAACGTTTTTTACTCATTAAAAAAAAATTTGAACATCATCCTAAGCCATTTTCACCATCAACATTACTAAAATTTTAAAAGTACCATTTATTTCATTTACATATTTCATTGCAATTTCAATTTTTTAAAGTTGTTTTACAGTTTTCACTTTTCAGTTTTCAGTGAGTTGTCTTTATTTCAATTTTATGTGAATTTCTTATTTCAAACAAACTGTTTTCAGTTCTATCCTTAAGTGTTGTTGTCATCACCCTGCTCAAAAGGTGTTAAAAAACAAAAATACATCAAGCCATTGTTCAAACATAAATTTTTTTTAAAAAATGCGATTTTTTAAAAGGTGATGACAGCTTGGTATTGTCAGCAGACTGGCCTTTGACCCAGCAATATCAAAGTCAATTTTGTCTTAATTTCAACACTGTTTTCCTTATCGCTGATTTAAAAAAAAAAAAAAAAAAAACATATTAAAAAAATTCTGGTTTCCAGTGTTCAGGAATAGCAATTTTAACTATTTTTTCATATTTTATCCCCAGAAAAAATTTTTATAATCACTTACACCAACGAATTTCACTTAGAAATGAAAGAAATGAAAGAGCATTCTTTGCTTTCAGGAAATACCTAGTTTTATGGGGTCCAGATCAAACGTTTCCATGACATTTTGTTCAGATGATGACAAAAGTTATTTTTCAATTTCTTTTTTTTTCAGTTCAAATTGGCTGTAGTGTAACAAAATAACTTGATATGTTTGTGATGATTTTTACTTGGGATAGAAATGTTTTATCATAGCAGATCTGTATTGACTTTAGGGGACTATAGTTGCCCTCAAAAAGATGTACAGCACTTGTATTTTAATTTATTTATAGTATTTATAATTTCTACAGATAGTATCAACAAACTTATGGTGTAAGCTACAGTAATAAAAAAAAACAAAATAAAAGAAATTGGAATGCTGAAAGGTTTGTTTTTTGTTTTTTTTTACTTTGATAATTACGCGGTACTACATAAGCTGGTTCATGTAAAAAAAACCGTTACGTCAATTATGTCCTTCCCTATGATAACTCGAATCTCACGTTAGTTGTTGACATGTGATGACAGCAATCATTTATCACTTGTCAATAGCCGACAATGTTAAGATCGCCTTTTTTATTTTAAACAACATTTTTCTTCAAAGAAAGTAAGCAAAAGTTTTTTCAAAATATATTAAATAATCTAATTTTTGTCAAATAAATTTTGAAAAACGTATAATTGATTTTTGGAATAATTTTAAACTAGAATTTTAACTTAGTTTACAAAATTTTTAAAAAATGGCTGATATCGAGTTTTTTTTTTTTTTTTAGTAATTTCGCTGACAAAAAAAAACAAGATTTTTAACTGAAATTTTGGACATGCTAAGAATGAGTAAAAGATTTTAAAACATAATAAAAAAATACTTTGATATTTCTTCTTAATAATGATATATATACTTAAGCAGATATTTTTTTCATCAAATTTAAGGCCGTTCATAATGCTACGCTCTTTTTATTGATTTTCATGGAGTTACCTAGGTTTAAATAACAAAATTTACGTAAACGTGTATAGCCTAAAGTGGGGAAAAGTTGGAAAGAAAGACGCGTAATTAAAACTGAGAGAGAGAGAGAGAGAGAGAAAGAGAGAGAGAGGTGACAATAAAGACAT